CTCAACCAAGGGCCGTAGCTGGTGAAAGACCTTTGACGCCTCCAGGCTTTGTTCACCGATATTTGCAATTAGCATTTTGATTGATTTGGTATTATCCAATTTTTCAGAGCACCCCTTTTCCATATGTCCAAGCCTACCACATCTGTAGCAAAAGGTTGGCAGATTCTCATATTGGAAAGGAAACCATTTCTTCTTTCCATCTTCCAGAGTTTAGCACCCAACACTAGTGGTTTCCTGATATCAACCTTCACCCTAACCCTCAGCCCCATATTCCACTCTTCTTTCTTTTTCTTCCTCTTGTCTTCTTCAGGCCTTGTTTTTAGTACCTCCCCCGCTTCCTACGCCAACAATGCTCCAATTTCCTTGGTTCTGTATCCTATAGGGATGTCCAGTTTCCTTGATTCTTACCCATAGATGTCATTTGGGTATTCTTTCAAGAGGAGACGATATTCTTTCACCACCCATGGTTCATCCTTCAACACATTTTTCCTGTCTTTTTCTCTGGTAAAGAAAATCCACAGTAAGTTCTCACTAGCTCTTTCAAACAGGGTCTCTCCCTTAAGCCACTGCCAAATATTCTTAATTTGCTCTATAACACCTGAAACGTTTAGTGGTTTATCTTAGAGCACCCTTGCATGTAAACCACTTCTTTTCTTTGAGTTTTTTATTAGTGTTTTAGCATGCTCTTCCACATCTTCAACTTCCTTAATCTCCATTTCTGTCTCCTTCCAATCAGATTCGTTCCAGAGAGTGAAAAAACTAAAACCACTACTAATGGAATCAGAGAAACTCAATCTCTTGCTCACCTTCGGAGTTTTGTTCAATCTCTAACGCCTGTTTAACTAAATTAATCAAAAGAAAAAAATGTTAATTAGCTCTAGTATTTGGAGTATGAATTGAGACCTATTAAGGATATTTTTGAAATAAAAAACCCTAGGCCTATTTCCATACGCATTTCCTACACCTGATCATTCTCAATTCCCAAATGAAAATGCAAACACTTCTTCATCGAAGATCAATTAAGTAAAACAGTTGTAAACTATATTGGTGTTTTGCAAGATGTAAATTATAAGGTAGTCATTTTTAAGAATATAAGGTAGGTTTTGATAAATAGATGAAACTATAGGGATCTGTAAGTAAATGACCCCATAAAAATGCAAGATTACGCGCCCTGGATGGAGATGTATGAGGCGATTTCATTCATTGGTTTATAACTCGATTCGGTTAATGGACAATTTTAACTTTGACCGACGGCCATTTGAAGAGAAAAATAGAAAAATTGAATAGTCTATTCTGCCCCTTTTTTGAATGAGGCTGAATGCGAGTAAAAACACAATCGCTCAACTGAATTGCAATGAAGACAGGCTTCCTTTCCCATGTTCATGTTCTCACCGGTTTTGATATCTTTGTATTCTAAATGAAGTGAGGTATCTAATGCGACATTCCTATTTGAATAAACTAGTGAATGATCCCTTATTAAGTATGGGGAATCAGTAACGTTAAATTTATATTTTTTAATATTTTAAATAATTATTAAAATTTTAAGAAGTATTTATTTAAAAAAATAGCTTTCTAATATTTATTAGAATATAGATTGAAAATGGATTAAAAGTGATTGTGCATAACCACTTTTGCATTTTCTGCATTTTTTTTATTGAATGGATTGAAAATGGTGGTAGTGGATTATGGGCTTTAGCAACTTCTCAGAAAATGCCACGTATCTAACTTTCCAAACAAATGAAAAAGTCATGTGTCTGAATGGTGGGGAGCTGTAGCCCGATAGTGGGTTGTGGGATTTAGTAGGAATTTTTCAGAAATTGACACGTGTCTAACTTTCTAGAAAATGAGAAGGCCACTTGTCTGAATGGTGGTAGTGGGTTATGGGCTTTAATATCAACTTTTCAGAAAATGCTATGTGTTTAAATTTGAAAAAGCCACGTATCTGAATGATGAGGACTGTAGCCTGAAAGCCTTCTTTTAATATTTGGGTGCACTTTCAATGGCAAGATCGAGTTGGCAGTGAGCCTCGTTAGGGAATTTTTAGTATCTGTGGAAAAAGCTAATTCTAGAACAATTGTAGGTTTAATCCCCATGTTTTCTCCGATTGGTCATCTTGATCTTACTCGTTCTATTCATGGACTTGCTATAAAATCTGGTGTCAATTTAAATGCTTCTGTTCCTACTGCCCTCGCAACTGTTTATAATAGTGAATGAAGTTGAATTTGCATTCAGCAAGGCAACTTTTTAATGAGACTCCAAACAAAAGCCTGACATCTTGCAATGTCATGATATTTAGTTATGCTTAAAACAGGCTGACAGATATTTCTCTTAAACTCAATACAATTTTTCAAAATGTCCAAAACTCACCATGTCAGTGAGATTTTATTTTCCAAAACTCAACCATCTGTTAAAACACCATTAAAGTTCATTGACCCAAGTTGTCCATGTCAACCTAAATGCAAGTTTCATGACCAAACTGCCACTGAATCGTGAATTAGCTTGTTAACGCTCATCGAGAGTCTTTCTTGCTTCAACGTCCAGAGTGTTCTTGCTCTGAACGTCCAATGAACCTCTAACCAGGTATTTAACCTTTATTATTATTTTTTTCATTTTTACTTAATTAGGGCACTCGAAGAAATCTGATTTTACTGCACTCGTTATTACTTGGAGAATCTGATTCTGCACTCGTTTTTAGACTTTCTGTACCTCAATCCATGGCTGTGAATACAATGAGTAAATAGATTTTTTTAGACTTCAAAGTAAATAGTTATTTTTAGACTTCTCACGAGACCATAAATTTCTATCTTTGAAAGGTATCTTGAGATGGACTTCTGTTCTGACTGTTCTTCTTCTCAGGCGAAGGGAGAAGCAGTGACAATGGTGAGAAGTTGCGGCAATGGATTTTCTCTTTCGTTCAGACAAGGTTTTGGGTTGAAGAATGGCGAGGGTGTGCTTTTGGTTCCGTTCTGACTATTCTTCTTAGATGATGGGAGCAGCAGCGACAATGGTTATTCATGTTCTCAAACGGGGGAAGAAGCAACGTCAAATGCTGGTTTTCTCTTTCACAAATGGTTATAGTCCTCTTCATCCTAATTGGCATTATCTTAGCCAACATTTTCATTTCTTTTCTTCCTTTACTGAAATAAAGTGGATTAGATTCTTCGGTTACTCTATTGTGAAAATGTAAAAGTTCAAATTCCCTCTCTATGGTTCCTTCTTTGTTTTTGTCTTGGCTTAGAGGTAACCCAGGAGAGAAAGAGAGAACATAGAGACTTTGAACTCTTTGAAGTCTGGTTCCCAACAATCTATGCTGGAGCCGAAGAAAGCCATTTCTGGTCTACCAAGTCAGAAGACGAACAAGTGATGGAAGCCTCTAAACCCAGCAACTCGGCTCGACTGGTTGGTTTGACCGGTTTTTCTTTACCACCGGTCGGTTTTGGGTTGTAAAGATGAGTAAATTGATAATTCGGTTCGGTTTTCAGTTTTCACACATGAATATTGAAACCGAACTGAGTTATCTATAAATATATTCTCACTGAAATATTATATATAATATGTATATTTCAGTTATATATATACATTTTGGCTTTAAATATATATATATATATATATATATATATATATTTCTAAAATGTATATTTCAGTTTTAAATATATTTCCAGAAAATATATTCTGAAATGCTATATATAAGATGTATATTTACGAAATACATATATTTAAAGCTGAAATATATATTTCGAAAATGCATATATTTAAGCCAAAACCGATCCAAGTCGACCAGGTCGGTTTCGCTTAATAGAGGGTCAGTTTTGGTTTAATCTTTAGGTAACCCGATCAGGTCGAATTGGTTGAAAAAAAACTAGTAAACTGACCCAACCCAACCCGTAAACAGCCCTAACAACTACAAGAAATTCAGATTCATCTATCCGGCAATCAATAGAACAAAACCCCTATGATCAGTTCATAACTACTTCAAGAAAAGTCATCTATTCATCTTCAGGTGGTCCGACCTGTTACTAGTGGCGGAAGACCGAAAGCAATTATCTCAGATCTCACAAATACAATCACGTCGGGGATCTCTCTGACCACGAATTTGGAAGAATAAACAACCAAATCTTTAATAAAAATAACAATAAAAAAATCAAAGAAACATTTCTCTCTCTTTGCTTCTCCTTCTATAAGAACACGATGAAAAAGAAAGAAGAAGAGGAGGAAGGGAACAAGAAAATGAGAGAAAATAAAACGAATGACCAGCCAATGGATCATGGACCCAGGAAGAACTGAACGGGAGTTGTAGTTTTGGAGATCGAGAGTTGCAACATTCTCCTGCGCCATTAGTGAGCAAGAGAGCGAGCGTACAGGAGAACAAAGAGGGGTAATTTCAGGATAATGCAAAATGGGTCGAAAATAAAAAGGGGTAAAATAGTAAATTAATGACGTTCATTAGTCAAGTTATCGTTATCTCAATGACATGGTGAGTTTTAAAGGTTTTGAAAAGTTATAGTGAATTTAAAAGAATTCGTAAAAAATGATGACGGGTTTTAGACAAATTCCCTAAAAAAAGGCTATAAATTTTTGCCACTGGGCAATTACATGAGCAGGGAGAATTTGGGTTCTGGGTTTATACAAAACATTCCTTAAACTGGTTCAGGTAGTGGTGTAGCTTCCAATTAAAATGTTTGAGGGATTCTCTGATTCCTTCAACAACCACTTTATCTTGTGAAAAAGGAGATCACATTTGCCGAAGGACAAACCCGAAACCCCCAGTAAAACACTGGCGTGTTCAATAATCACTGGAGGGAGGGTGTCGGGTATGTACTGCGACGAGGGAGAGACCGTAAGGTTTGTTGCCCATCCCTGAATCCCTGATCCAATCCCATGCCCTTTTCTAAGTGAAAATATAAAGTATAAAAGCCTTTTGTCGGAAAGAACAATAAGGGCTGTTTTAGTTAATATGATAAAAGTATAGGGGTGCCTTAGTATATGATCATTAAATTTTTAAAAGCTATGACACAGCCCGCCTCCACAATTGGGTAGTCATACAAGCTTCGTCTCGTTTTGGAGCCTGCACTCCGCAGAGAAATTCAAATACTGAGAAGTGAGAACTGAGGGAGGACCTATAACGCAGCCCGCCTCCACAATTTGTGTAGTCATACAGCTTGGTTCTCTTTAACGTCGTTCAATTTCCATCCTCCTCTCTGTGAAGCAAAATGCCAAAGAATAATACCAAATCTAGGTCATCGAGGAAACCACTGATGGACGTCTCCAATGTTGGGAGGCTTTTGGAGCCAGCCAACAAGAGAAGTTCTCAACGCCAAGGAAAGGTCGAGGACGACGACGCTCTTGATCGTCTTCTCCTCGCCCATTCTGGTCTCTCTAATCTCATCCAACAGGTAACAATATATTCATTTTTTTCACATTTCAAGAAATTAAATCGAAAGTTGGCATGCATACATCCATTTGAGATTCAAAAGATCCTAGCGTCTGTAATATTTCTTGATATCTTTTCCACCGTCCGGATTTTTGGAAAGGATTCCCTTTGTTATTGTTATTTTTCTTTTTAATTTTAACACCCTCTCGACATTTGGTCCATTTAGTTAGAGACAGCGTGATTTTGTTAAAATTTCACCAGAAGGGCCTTCAAAAAAAAAAAAAATCACCAGAAGGTGGTTATACGTCTCTTGAATTCACCATACTCCTTCTTTACGCATCGAGTCAGGCCCGTGCTGTATCTTTTGATTCTTCAAATTTTGAATAAGTTGATCCCTGACTTCACTGAAGTGCAAAGTTATCCGTTATCTTTTTTCACCGTTGAGTTTCTTTGCGCTGTTAGCACAATAGTTTCATCTTGAATTTCGGATTGGTAAATTGATGTGCAGTTTTTGGTGGCTTAGGGTTTTAATGATTATTTATAATTCCCTTTATTTATTTTTACATTTTTGTCTGGGGAACCAAGCTTTCATTGGTCTACGTAGATTGAAGATAAAACCAAAAAAAACATATGGAATTTGGATATAGCCAATGGAACAAGGTCAGCAAGAAAGGAAAATAAAGCAAGATGCATACCGAATTACCGATATTTATATTGGAAACCATTTGATATGAAGATAAATACCAGCACAAATTCTGAATTTCTACACCATAAGACAACAGAAGTATAGCTTTCATACCTACTTACCTAGACGATACAATCATCATCATCATCACAAAATGACCTACTGGGTAATAGAACCTACTCCTGTGAGACAGATGTTCCAAGCCAAACTGGGTTGTAAAGCACCTCAAAATCTGTCTTTTAAAAAACAAAGAAAAAACTTCTGCACCTATCAAGAAGGTTCAAGAAAATTGTAGCCAATCCTTCTAATCCACTTCTCTTCTAACAACAGCATAACGCTCTGTACCTCCAATGCCAGCAAATGTAAGATTGATTGATTACTCAAATCACAATATGCAAATGGTGAAATAAAATTAAAAGGAAGCCTCCCGGATCCAGTATACACACAACACACCCTAATACTATTGACTTTTAACAGCTTTGTACTTTTATTTATTTATATCTAATTTCCTCTTTACAATGAGTCTAAAGCATCTGAAGTTCTGAAAAAATGTATACTTACTTTATCAGTTTTATGCTTTTCACATCTATGGTAAGGCATTTTATCTTTTTCCACATTTTCTTACATCTTAGCCACACACACACACACACATTTTCACCCAAGATTACTGCTGCTTTTGATTCTCAGATACTGTTATTAGTTGGCTTGTTCTGTTACCATGGTAGATACAGTTAATATTAGCCTCTATTTTGATAAATTCATTTTGTGTTTCTATAAGTGATAGCTCATTCCATGGTAGAGTCAGTTCTGCGAGAATTATGTACAATATTTCCAGGAAAAATCAAAACTAATCTACCAGACCTGGAGTGTGCTTTTTGTAACGAGCATAGGGTATATGTGAATCATTTGTTCCTATTCTGCAACTTCTCTTATAAAGTTTGGAACCATTTTAGAAAATCTGTTCCAGTTGATGGGTGTTTTCCTGCTTCAGTGAAGACCATGCTAACTGGGTGGTGGGTGCACGAAATGCCCAAGAAAGGGAGAGTTTGTTGGGATGTGGTGCCTCTAGAAGTTTTGTGGGCAATCTGGTCTGAAAGGAATTGTGGAATTTTTGAGCAGAAACCTAACCTGGAGGAGGTGGTTATCAATTGTGCAATTAATATGTTGAGAGTTTGGTTGTCTATTCATTCATGTTTCAGTTCTGATGACTTCCCTTCCTCTTTTTTGAATACAGATTTTTTGGGGGTCCTTAAAGGAATGTTGTTGTATAGAAACTACTTGCACGGAGGACCATACATGTATGGTTTTTTTCCCAGTTAATACAATATAATTTACCTTTCTCAAAAAAAAAAAAATCAAAACTATATATTTCTACTTAGCATTTTTAGACAACATATCATGAGAAAGGAGGCATCTAATATAATCCAACCACTTGGTCCCTTACTCAAAACCCCTTTCTTTAAGGAATAACAGTTCTGTAAACATTTACTCCTATTCACCCCCAATATGGCCAAAGAACCAACTAATCATTTGCTGACACCCTTTAGCTTTGTAAAATATCTTATTTGCCAAGTCCTTTCTCCTAACTATTCATCTGGATGACAACCACTTGAAAAAGTCTCTTTCCACCTCCAATCTTCAAATGTCCAAAGAGAACATTAATGTTAACCCTTGAAATAATGCTAAAACCTTAGCTCTAATTTCCATTCTAACACTGGCTGAGCTTGGACATACATGAAGAACCTCCTCATCTTTGTTTCTGAACACCTTAAACTCCTGAATTTTGGGTTCCTCAAATAACAACCATCAAAGTTTAATTTGACAGTTCAAGGAGATGGAAGAAGCCAATTTTGCATATGAATACTTCTTCTAGAAGATGATCTAGAGACCTTATACCATGCACTTAAAATAGCATCCATCACAAATCTGCAAAGTGCAAACTCTTCTCTTGTGAATATCCAATTGGCCATCTTAGTGTGTATGATACTTATCAATTTTTTGGTTGTGATTCTTTTGTTGAAAGACCCTTAAGATTCTTTTCTCCCAAAAATCCCATAACAAATCTGCCTGTGTGCATCTCTATATCTTCTTCCCTTTTTTGTTGGAGGAGAGGAAAAGGTCAAATCAAATATTGTTGAGATATTAGCTAGAACCTGCTACCTAGAACCAAAGAGAGGAAAAAAGTATTCATAAATCTTAGTATCAACTGACCAAGAAATAATAATGTCATAAGCAGATTCTTCCTCCGAATTGCAAGAAATCACACATTGGGTGCATAGGTAACAAATGGGGAGCCTAAATTGGCACTTGCTACTGGTCATAATCTTCAAATGCAACACCTAGTAAAAACTCTAATCTTAGAAATAGGCCCTAATGAAATAGGTTAAAGAGGAAACCTCATGGGCAAAGGTGGGACAAGAATAAAAAAAGAGACAGAAGAGAAAACCCCGTGAGATTCAGATAGTCAAATCCTTTTTTCAGTTTTTTCTTGGCATGAAGGATGAAGAAAAGCACCAGAAAGACAACTCCATATAGACATATGCCTTTATTTATCACTTACATGGTCATATGCTTTTTCCAAATCCAATTTATAAAGTACTCTCTTCTGACCTTTTTAGACTTCCCACACTGATTAGCAATGAAGATGTGGTTCAGGTTCCATGATTTCTACAAGTTGACATCCTGGATGTTTGAACTTGGCACTTGTACCAAAGTAAAACATCCTTAAGCTGGGTCATTCTGCAGTTCCCTGCAAAAACTGCTATTTCTGGTTAAGATCACAAGCAAAGCAACGTGTATCCTTGTGCAACTAAACTGCATGTTACAGTTTCAATCATCAAAAGGTAGTACTATCATTTTCATTTCTATTGTGGAATATCTCAAGCTTAATTTGGTAAGCCTATAAAATTACTTTTTGATTCTGTGTTTGTAATACCTTGTCTCCCAAGGCCTACTATCATGTTTATGCAATGTGGTTTATATCACATTTGTAGAATTCATGCCATGGAAAAAGTGAACAAAGTTGGAGGTTTTTTATTACACTTATTAATTTCTTTACAATGCAAACCATGGATGCATTTATTTCAATTTTCCATTCCCTTTATTTTGCAGATTGATGAATTGGTTGTGCAAGCATTCAAACTTAAATTGACTATCAAGGAGCGAGGAGAAATTGAATCTTTTACCCATGTCCTGTCCGATGTGTGTTCTTCTTTAAAGGTTGTTCTACTAACTGATTTTAGTAGTATAGTAATTGTATATTCTTTATGATCTTGATTCAATAAGAAGCTCTTCACATGAGGAGGCCCTTTTTATGAGTTGATTGGTGCTATATGGGGCAAATTGCAATGGAAGGTTGGGTATGTTGATGTCAAGTACATTCCAATCCGATATTAAAAATGTTTCTCATCATGTGGAGGCGCCCTTATTGAATCAAAATCTTATATTTTTATTGCAGAACTGAAGTAATGTGCTTTGTTTGTCCACTTTTTTTTTGTATTTTGTAAATCCAGTCATGGGTTCCAAGATTCCAAAAGGTTCTTTCCAGTTCATCAGTTGAGTTTGAAAATAAGACAGCACAACCTTTAGCAAGTAAAGTGATTGTTGATGCAAGTGCTGCAAGTAAAGAAATAAGCAATGTTGTTGACAGTCCCAAACAACCTGAAGTTGACTCCCTTGTCTCTCCATCACCTCTTGTTTCTTGGCGTGCTGACTGTACTGTTGAGAGAGGAAAACAATTATTTCTTCTTACACCATTACCTAGATCAAAAGCTTTATCTTCCAAAAGTCAAGGCACATCTACATTGGTATTTAAAAGAATTACCCATACGGATCCCCCTCCTAATACTACTATTGGCTCACCTTCATTACTGACCACTTCTAAAAATATGAATGACGATTTTCTGGAAGAATTAGAGTTAAAGCCACTACCAAATAAAAGTTCTAATTCTCATACTACCCAGATAGAAAATTCTCTTGCATGTGGGTCCATTTCTCCACCAAGATTCTCAAAAAAAGACCAGTCTATGTTTCTAATGACCCCATGCTTAAAAATGTCACCTCCACAGTCTTGTGTGTTGCTTGAACCAATATCCAGATCCTCTTACCAGAACAATGATGAAATTTCTAATACCCCATTTGTTGTTGGAATCGGAAACTCTACTGGGTCCCAGATCTCTGAACTATCGAGCAGCAAAGTCTCAGAGGATTTGGCATTAAAGTATCCTGAACTTTTTGGGCCACATCCACCTCATAAATGGGGAATTGGAAGGAAAGAAATAGAAGCATCCCCGGGTTGGTTTTTATCACCTCCAAAAACTTGTGTGTTAATGGAGCCACCCAAAGAGAAATTACAAATGGATCCAGCTGCTAACAGAGACTCATCCAATGTCATGCTTAGTGAGCAAACAAATCCAAAAGCTGAAAGGGAGAAAGACGTGTATGGGCAGTGTTCCTTAGCCAGAGTACCATGTAATAAAGGTATTATCAATTTGCTTTTCTTTTTCGTTTTCTTTTTTCAGATTATAATGTATCCTATGAAGTCTGAACAACGGGCATACTTGAATTTATCACTCCTGTTTTCATACTTCCAGAACTTTGTTCAAAACTAGGGGTGCTAGAAAGCACGCCAATGTGGAAGGAGTCAGAAAGCATCATCCGAACTGGCAAACAACCTGGTGAGAACACTTTGAAAAGGGAACTGTGGACTAAATTTGAAGCTGCGTCCACAAATGCTATGCCTTTGAAGATATCAATTTTCACAGAAACAGGCCGAAAAGGTTTTCTGGATAGACTCGATGAGGTTTCATGTGAAGAGGGAACTCTATTGACCAAAGGCTTGTAATGATATGGTAGACATCGCGCAAGATGCAACTTTTTTATCTGTAAATTGGGATGTTTGGCATGCAAAGTTTTGTTCACGAATTCAGCCCTGCAATTATAATTTCATCTTAACATCCAACTACACAACTCAACTCAACATGAGCTTTTATCATTTTTGTATTATGTGGGAACAGATTCATTATCGAATATAACATGGGCAATCTCAGAATTAGCACCTTCCAGGCTTCCACTTGATTGCCTTCTGATCTCGTTGGTTATTAGGTACAATTGATTGAGAAACGTGGAATCATAGTTCATATGAAGTTTTTTATATTAGACCAATTAAAAAATTCTACAACAATGGAGACTATTCTAAGTTGGTAATATTTGACATTTATCAATCAAAAATGTATTTTTTTTAATTCTAAGATTTTAATCAAATAGTTTCCCGTGCTTAAGAGTTAAGACGGTTCATTTGCTAGAATAAATGTAATATGAATATGATGTTATGAGTCTTATGACCATCAGAGCAAGGGTGATCTCATCTCATGGGATGTTTAAGTAGTCTCTCGTCGCCATAAATCATCAGTGGCATATTGGCATACACTCGAGCTGTGCTTTCCACAACCGTGGGATTTGAGGGAGTGAATGGAGTCGAATTCTTCTCCCAACCGAATTCATGCAGTTGGAATTCAAAAAGACTAGCCCCCCGTGAAACTCAAATCTTCTTAAATTACAAAATTGGACGCTTAAATTTCATAATATTTCAATACCTCTCTACTAAGAAATTGCTCTAAATGGGTGAATTGGAACTGATTAATCCAATTCTGTCCCCAGTTCCATTCCCCCCTTTTTGGGCTTCATGGGGTAGTCCGTCCCCTATCCATAACCATAGTCCATAACCCCTCCAACTTGGGTGAAGCGAGAACCCATCTGTAGTCTCCACTCTCTACAACGAGTCAAAGACCTCCAACTGACCCAGTTGGCACATTCTTTCCGCCTGATTTAAGCAAGAATGCCCCCAAAATATTTTATTCTTGTTCGACATGGAATTGGAAAAGGGGTCAAGCCATTTCAAGTGGTTCACCCAAGCTTGACTCTTAGGGCCCGTTTATTTTTGGATTTTGAGAGGGGAAAAAATTGGTCAATGAGGTTTTGGTTTCCATTGACCAAAATACCCATGTTCTTTTTTCAGATTTATATGAGGTTTTTCTCTGGGTTTAAGTGATACCCATTAAGTGGATAAATAACTTTTCCACCTAGCGGGAAAATTACCAACACTTGGATGGAACAAAATTATCCCTTTTAATAATGACTTTTTATGGCTAAAACAGTCGTTATTTTATTTACCTAAGAAATAAAAAATATGAATAAATACATTTACCTAGACAATTATATCTCAAGAAACACAACTTGAGGCATAACTAAGGATGTTTGAAGATAACGTTCTCCAGATAAAAAAAAGGCCTGAAGCCACATTTGTGGTGATTGGTTTAGATTAATGGGTGCTAATATGATCTTGAAATACGTAAAGAGGCCAGGAAAAACTTCAACTCGATAAAATTTTCTGGTGAATGAGTAAGGGCTGTCAATGGGTCGGTGTATATCGGACTGATCTAACTGAACTTATCATATTGGTTCTGATTCTGAGATTTTGTTCCAATTAATAATTGGATAGGTTCTGGTCTCAATTGATTCAGACCCAAATTGATTATTTTTTAGTCCTAACTTTATTATAATTTTTATTATATTTTATGTTTAATAGGATAAATTTAATAAATAATATATAAAATAATTTTAATTAAAAACATTTGATTTATTAACATATAAATAATTTACTACTCCATTGTCAATTTTATTAAAATTAGTTATATTATAAAAAAAAATCAAGTTTTAAATTTTAATATATGGCTCGAGATTGGGACATCCTGGCCCATTAACAGCCCTAACCAAAAGTCAAATCATGACTTTTCAAATCTAACCATACTTTTCAATCCAATGTCAATGTAATCCAACGCAACTCAACTTTTCCAAATTGGTTTCAAGCTAACCATACTTCATGCTGTTTTTCATGGCAAGATAGATGTTCCCGATGTGTGGCTACAATCTCCTGTGTGTGGCCAACGTTTTGTGTCAGTAGATCTGACAGAGCTCGTCATGGACAATTGGATAGTGTCAAAGAAAATGGTCGAAAGGAATGATGAAGAAATGGAATAGAATCCTCAATCGTTTGGCAGACGAAGCGAGTGACAACCAACACGCGCGCATCGTTACGTTACGTTACGTGTCCCCCAACGCTCCCGTTTGGATTGAAAGGGGTGGGCCCTTTCAATTTTGCGGCTGTTGATTGTTGTGGTGGTGGTGGAGTGGAGACCTGGCAATTGGGTTGGGTGGATCGGGTTCGGGTTGGGCCAAAATACTTTGGGTTGATTTCGGATCGGGGTTGAATTTTGAGTTGAATTGTTAAATGCTAAACCCTAACCCTAACCCTAAATGTTCAGATTAGGGTTGACCTATGGGTCAATTTAGATCATCCAAAAAATAATTGAAATTAAAAAAAAATTACATGAAAAATGTCAAAATTAAAAGAATTAACCTTAAAAATCCAAATATAAAATAAAAAATTTAAACATTTAAAAATTTAAAGAGTAAACAATAAAAAATAAAGACTAAATAAAAAAAAATTAAAGATCTAACAATGCATAAATAATTCCAATTAGACTTGACTATCGGATCAACGGGTTGGCTCATGACCCAACCCAACCTAACCCAATTTTTTTCAGGTAGACTTGGGTCGAGTCATTTTCACATTTGGGTAGCTAAATATAAAACCCTAACCCTGTTTTTTCGGGTTGGATTGGATCAACTTTTTGCCAGGTCTTCTGTGGAGCCGTAAAGCTAAACGTCCAAAAAGGGAGATTCAAGCAAAAGCAAAAGAGAAGGTGGTTGGCGAGTGGTGACTGGTGAGTGGCCAGTGAAGACATACATTGATCCGACAATGCCAGCAGAATCCATCGACAGTCCTATGATATGAAGCAAGGGAAGGATTCTCAATTCTAACCACCTCAAACAAACAAAACACACTGTTCTAAGGACCCCACAGAAACGGCTTATTTTTCTTTTTCTCGTTGGGTTGTAAATTTAATTGTGTAATACAAGAAGAATTCAATTCCTGATCCTGAATCCTTGATGGCATTATATTTAATTTAGGGATGGTAATAGGGTAGGCCATGGATTTGAGATTGAATTCACCATTCTTCTGATTGGGTGGGGTGGGAACTGGGAAGAAATGAATCCATCACTGCTGTAAAAATTAAAAAATTACAATTTGGTCAGGAAAACTGGAAAGCCATACAGCTACTGATTATGGGTCTGAGGTGTAAAAATTATAATTTGTCTCTCAGATGTCAGCGGTACGGTCCAGTACCGGCAATCTACCGACCCCATAATCACCAAATGTCTGGACACAATTAGTCAATTACACACACACACTGGGTATCTTACTATCTATCGTATACCGTTTCCATTTCCATTAATTTGCTTGCTGCTCTTCCTTTATTTGTTTGTTCATTTTCTTAGGGTCGTGGTTTTGCCAGCCAGGTCAGAGTCAGGTTGGGCCTGGCACGTCTCACTCAAAGTCCAAAATCCCAAACACCAACCCATGAAATGATGAAAAGAAGAAAACGATCTGGATCTGGTCCAATCCAAGCAAATCTCATGCATCAACTGAAAGCAAGCAAGCAAGCAACGTATATAACTGCTACGACAATAAAATCTATGAGATGATGAACAAACATAAAGCCTTGAAATTAAGATTAAAATCTCACATAACTTAATAATAATAATGCTATTGGGCACCCTAAGCTAAAACAGAGAAATAAATCTATAGTAACTAGCTAGGCGTAGGCCCCTCCATTTTAAATGAGCGACTGAACTTGGATGCAAATGCAGTTGGAATTCAAGAATCGATCACTTTTTGGCCACCTTGCTTAGTTATGGTTGTCCTTGTCATTCTGGTTATTGGTTTCTCTTGTTCCAGGCCTCACTTGGGGCGACATGCTGTCTCAGCGGGTCCAGCTTGCCTCACCACCTGAGTTATAATTATATTATAGATAAGAACAAAAATTTAATTTGGCCAATTCGTATAACAAATCTGGCTTACTTATTTAACAGATGCTGCATGCAAATAAATACCGCCAAACTATGATGGGAAGATATAACGACCTGAAAATAAGTCTCAAGCTTCTTCTTCAAAGTTGTATATTCTCTCTTCAGTTGTTGGAAAGTCTTCATGCATCTGCCAACAAATTAAAAAAAAAAAAAAACACCCACAAAAAAAAGATTATTATAGGTTGGAATAAAGAATCTCTCTCTCTCTCTCTCTCTGTTTTTGATTGTGTGGGGAGAGGAGTTTGGATGATATGAAACAGCAGAACATTGAATGTCATCCATCAAAGAAATAGGAAAAAAAAAACCATTAGATTTTAGCCATTTAAAGAGATAACAGACTCTTATTTCTTTGTTTCTTATTCTTGACCTTTTGATTTACCAAAGAGACATTCTATTAAGCTTAAGAAATTAATACGAAAAAAGAAGTAGGATCGATGTGTGAAATAAGAAAAAGAAGAAGAAGAAAGGTTAAGATTAACTACCCCTCTGCGTTTCCTGCCTTGCAGAACTCCCTGAACTGTGTGGCCTCGCTCTTTACCTTTCTAGCTCCAATGCTGCAATAAATCGCTTTCGTTTAATAAATATATATATAAAATACCTTGTAAATGCAGGCCACTAGATATGCATTGAGGACAATGACATCAGCTCAATTCTCTTTCGCCATTATTCCCATATCCCATATCGTTATCAATGTTAAAAAAAGTATATGCCATCTCACGAAAAATCAAAAAAGGAAGAGAAAAAAGAAGTATATAACCATGTTTATTTGTATAAGAGAGAAATTTACGATTACTGACAACCTCATTGTAGAAGTCTCAACTTTCTACACCACCTAGTTTGAAGTTGTGTTCTTATGAGAAAACAAATTAAACCCTTCTCTAACACTTTGAAATAGTAGAGTCTGTCTAGTCTCAACATATCTTGTATCAAGTTCAAGGCAGCTAGCTAGCCCACTAGTAATTTCTCCTGTATTAAATTGTTAATCATCTATTTTGTACCTTGAACTACTCCCCTTAAACTGGTGCATGTAAGTATCCAGCTTATTGAAATCAAGGGGGCTTCTCTCCCTGCATATATAGACAAACGGAGATTGTAATTTTTATTAATATTAGATCAACTAATTAGCAAGAAAATGTTTCGAATTTACTTCACTCAGACGACTCACATTGCCTGCTCTATGTTAAGGATCAATCTAGCTGAATCCTTGTAGAACAATGTCACAACTTCCTCCACAAAATTAGGATTAACATCATCCTGCAAATCCTCCAACTGGATAAACTGCTCATCAAGGTAACCCTGCAACAAGAACAACCCAATATTATATTACTTCTTTCTCAATAGAAAAAACCCAAAAAGCACAAAAAAAAAAGTCCTACACGAGTACAAAGAGGGATATGCATATTAACATCAAGTAACTTTTCCCTTCTTTTTCTCTTTTTCCTCCTTTGGGGGTTGGGGGCCCATAGAGGATGAAGAGTAGTCTTGACCTGGCTGTTTAACGACTGTCCCAGACTTGATAGACTTCACTTAGCTAGGTGGCATGAAAGATGGGTTTACATGAAACACATACACAAGTACACAAGAGAGTACATGTACAGTACAGCCGAATGCCATAGATCTATCTTCTTATGTTGAAGACATCATATTCATATAGGGAGCATGAGCTAAACTCTTTGAACTCTGTAAATTGCCCAAACCGCCTTGCTCCTTGAAGAAATTGACGGGCAATGAGCATTGCAACATTCAGTTGAACGATTTTTCAGCTTGTAGCCATTTTCTATGGAAAGCAGCCCCACCCTACTCTGAAACTTTAACATTTTAAACAAATAATGCAACGCTAAAACCTCATTTTGTTATTCGTAAACTACACACACACACACACATATATATATATATATATATATATATATATATATATATATATATATATATATGCATGCATCATGCATATATGTCCTAACCAAGTTTAATCGGAAAGAATCATATAAAGCTACCAAAGCTGGAACTGGGTTTGATTTAAAAATGAAGAGGAAGAAGAAGAAGACCTGATCAAAGAGAGACTTTCTCATGTAAGCAGCCTGGCGTTTCAAATCCATCCTTTGTATATATGCGAAGGAAACGTAAGAACAGAGAGAGAGAGAGAGAGAGAGAGGAGGGGGAGATGAGTTGAGGGCTGAGGGCTTCAAAAAGTAGTTATATAGGGAAAGAGACAGAGACGCAAAATACTCTCCAGGAGCTAGAGAGAGATAGGGTGATAGAGAGGGAGAGGGAAAGGGCTAAGAGGAAGAGAGCTTGAAAGTTGGAATGAAGAGAGAGCTAGCAAAGGTCGCGTATATATAGTAGAGGGGGGCAGAGGCAAGTAGGCAAAGGAACAGAGTACAAGGTGGAAAGGAAGCATGTCTCTGTACACGCGTATTAAGTGTTAACACGACGGAAAAAAGAAAGATTATTATGTGATGTCCATTGTCCAAGCAACGGACATGGACATTGCATTTTGATACCCCCTCCTGGTCTCCCCTTCCCTCCCCTCCCAAAGAAAAAATATCAGTTCTTTTTGCTTTTTCTTTTTTTTTTTTTTTTTCTCAGGCCTTGAATTAAATGTATATAGATTGATTCTAAAGCTTTCTCTTTTTTGAGCGACGTTGATCTTATAGCGTTTCATTCACTCTATTCCTTGCGATCTCTACACGTCCCACCCCACTCTAAAGGCTCAAATCGGCATGAACGGGTGAACTAGGCACTCGGGGACCTCACTCTGGTGTGGTGAGCAAATGCAAGGAACACAACTAAATAACTAGCAAACAGGACGGGTTTTGGATATCTAAAACGGATTCTGGATCTTGCCTGATTTCTTTACTTTTTCCGACTAATATATATAGTCTTTTGAATTATTATTATTATTATTATTATTGATGGTGGTGGTGGTGATGCATTCTCAATTTCTTATTAATGTATTAATGTATTAATGTAGTAGAAAAAAGACTTGCAAAAAAGCTAAGGCTACCCCTATCAAATGGGCCCCAAAATGGAGTCCGGATCTTCTACCCAAAATGAACGTGACACTGACCAGCAATATATTATTGTATGGTGATCAGCATTCAGCAATTCAGCAAATCAGCAAATCAGCAGATCGGAATTCCCCAAAAATGAAGGGGTATAAAAAATGAAAGGGGGTTGCAAATTGCAATAAACTCGTTCTGAGGCAACACTTATACACGTGGCATCATGAAAAGAAGTGGGCAATTTTTAAGTGGCTAATCCAGAAAGTTCTCTACCCCTGCAGATTGACGATCTAGATTGGGGAATGCCATCCCTCATCCCTCAGCTCAGATCTCAACGTGGAGGCTGGGAAGAACACCGTCCAATCAAAGATCAAAGAAATCAGACCTGCACTGTTAAATTCGAATAACCCTTTAGATCGTCTATCATGTCATAGCTTGTGATTGGATGGTATGCCTGTCGTCCTATAGTCTATAGGTTGACTTTGGAAAACCCTAGTTTTGTGGTTTCTCGTCACTCATGTCATCGATGTCATGGGCTCATGGCCTGGCCGCCTCCATTTTTTGAGAAACCAAGCAGCTACTGGCCCCTGCCCCTTATCAGTAATAATATATAGAAAACCTTTCTTACCAATATTACAAGTCTCCATCGATCATTTCCTCATTTTTTGGGGTAAAAGAAAGATTTATACCCCACGTTTTTCAAATATATATATTTGGCATCTAACTCTAACACCACTCAACTTAATTAAACATACCCTCACCCTAATGAAACATTACATGCCCTTGCCATATGATATGAGGTCTCATGATTAGTTTAATATTTGAGATCTTTCCAAAAAATAAAAGTTTAATATTTGAGAAACCCTACTTTGCCCTTTCTCTCTCTTTTGACTCTTAGTATTTTAGCCTCTCTTGCTTTCTTACTCTTTTGCTCTGTTTGGTTAAGACTAGCTTGTCCTTAAAAGTTTGGCTTAGGTGACCTCTTGTCTGTTTTATTGCCTTGAGCACTGATGTGCGTCTCCCCGGAAGACCTTTTCCAGGCCTCTAACTTGCTTCATTAATGTAGATCGCTTGGTGCTCTTCTAATCATCCTACCCAGCTTGTCCATCTTAACACATTCAGCTTGACTTTTACAATTCAGCATGATTTTTATCTATTGCTCATCCACTTCTGACTTGCTTCTTTGCACATCACTCGGTGCTCTTCTATTCGTCCTGCCCAGCTTGTCCATCGTAACACATTCAGCTTGACTGGTATATTGCAAAGAGATGCCGATGAAGGAAAAAAACAAATGTTGCAAATGGGCATTATCATCAACAACAGCAAGATGTTGCAAACAATTGGAGAAGACAGCATTCTATACCAAAGGGGTAATATTGCCTTTTTTCTTAACACTATTAATAATAATGGAGACAAAGTATATTTAAGTCCTGTGAGAAAACTGAGAGTACATTTAGGGGGTGTTCTTTTTTCGCAAGTTTAAAAGGGGAAAAGTTGGTGAATGGGATTTTGGTTTCCATTAATCAAGAAATACATGTTCTTTTTTCAGATTAAAGTGGGGACCAAGGAAAATTTATTTTCTTGGGTATTGTTTATGGGGATAAATGCATTTACCCGGATAAATAACTTATCAAAAAAACGAATGAGGCCTTAAATTAATTTCCCAAATCTCAGGGTATGTTTTAAGCCTTTCACCCTAATTTTCCTTTTCTTTTTTTTTTTTTTTTTTTTTTTGTGACGAGAGAAAGTTATTGGTGAAATGAAAGAAAGTTCATGAGAGGGAAAAAAAAGAAGAAAAAAGCAAACTCAAGCCAACAAAACTGTTATTTGGTAAGCAAAAAAGTGGACGCTGTAGTCGATTCTATGGAAAGCGCATTTAGAGGAGAGATTAGACAGTTATTCTGAACAAAAGCACCTTTTCGATATTCAGCTTGTTATAAACTTATAATTATTTCATTTGATTGAGAGTGAGAGAACCTGGAGCCTTACTTACAGCTACAGGGCAGAGCATGGATCTCCAAAAGTAGAAAAAAAAAATTATAATCAATAAATTTATTGGGTTGTTCTTCAGTTGGATGGCTTGTGAGCCACTACTGAAATATTTCTTTGAAGCTATTCCCATTTCTTTCATTCGTCTAATAGAAATCAGGGAATTGGAAATGGACCCACCCACCACATTTTGCCATTTTGGTGGATAATTCCGCGTACATTAGGAAGCATCACACACACCATTCCTTTCTTTATTTCATTTCATCTCAGAATTGTACTTCACACCGAACAAAGGAGTTATTTTAAGTCAACCCTTTTTATTACTTTTCACATTTCACAAGCCTTTACACAACAATTCTGAAGTGAACCACATTCCATGTCCCTTCTGTGGGTCACAGACCAGAGATGCTGCTTCCCGTGAGGCACACGGGCAAGCAATTATAATAAACATCTTTCTTTGTTGTTCTGCAATCCTATGGAGACAAACACATTGCTCAATAGGAGTCTCCCCTCCACGCCTCCACCCACCACCCTCATTTTTGGAATCGGGGAAACAGTAGGCCGATCCTAGTCCTTGGGGCTTCTTTTGGTTGCTGCTGAGATGAGATCGACCCACCCATCCACGAACTTACCACTATTACCATGGCAAAAAGAAAAAAAAAAAGAGACACAGACAGAGACAGAGACACAGAGAAAAACAACTAAAACAGAAGGCAAGCAAGAAAGCAAGAAAGAAAAAAAGAAATAATTAAAGATGAAAAAACTGCAACCGAATCTAAAAACACCCAGAATTTGCTGACTGGGAAGCTTGGTGTTTTTACGGAAATGATTTACCATATCAGGCTAGAGCATAGAATCTTATTTACTAATAAAGAAAACGTATCAGAAGCAGCTAGGTTTCGCATTTCAAGAAAAAAAAGAGCATATATGCATGAAAGTGAATATGTGGGAGAAGAACTTAAAGAATATTAGTATTTAATGATCTATTCAATGGTTCTTATTATTTTAATACCCTGTCAAGGTTCCATTGGTTTCAACATGAAATTGATGAAAAAAAATTCAAGTCGAAATATTTGAGACATATTTTAGCTAACTTGTTCTTGCCATTTAAATCAGAGCAAATAAGGGTGTGGCGCTGTAAAAGCACTATGGATCTTCTACCCACAAACTTTTCTCATGAATGATGGTAAAAGAGATATTCCCAATGCACGCCTATAGTGTAATGTGTGGGTAGAGACGTGGGAAGAATTTGTAGGTAGTATATGGGAGTTACTGTAAAAAGGGATGGAAACGGAAATAAAAGGTAAAATAATTCTTAATTCACCATGAAAAATGTCACAGCCATTTCATGATTCATGGAGAAAGAAATGAAATATGAAGATTGAAGATTATTAAGACAAGTACTAGCATCTTGGCAACTTTTTCCCGTTGCCAACCCCAATTCTGACATATGAACAGGTGATCCACCAATAATTCACAAATGCAGAGTATTTGATGCGTTAGTATTGGTGCATGGATGGTTTCTTCTTCTGATGCATCATTTCCCAAAAATCAGAAAGATACAATCTCATCCTCCCATTTCATCTAAAGTTAGAATCAGTTCAGAAAGAAACATGTCTGACGGTTCAAGTGAACAAAGCGCTCACAGTCACAGAACGGGGGAGGTAACCCTCTCCGCTACAACCAATGAGAGATCACCTTACCAACTTAGCCAGTTGGCACGTCGTCAATCCATCAAAGGTCCTTGTTCCAACGGTGAGTAGATTTTGTAAGTGGAGAATAATAAAAACAGCACACCAGGGATGGGATGTGAGAATCATGGATTAACCAAAAGGGGAAAAAGGAGAGAAATATCACCATAATCATTGAGATGGGCGCTTTAGCTTTTAATAGACAGCAGTGGTCCTTGTCATGCCTTTCTCTGGGTGCAATTTCAGAGCAAAACCTTACCAGGGGAAGAAAATCAGAAATGTTCATGTTCCCTTTATTCCTTAGCCACACAAGAGAAGAGAGAGGAGGGGAGAGGCTGCAATGCAGCAAGGCTACAACACGGAGGAGTTATCGCACATAAACACACTCTCCCATGGTTTTCACAATTATGTGGTCGTATCCATTCTTTTTGTGAAAGAACAAAAGCTGTGGGTGGAAAGGGAAAGGAATATCATTTTATGTTTTTCTTTGCACAGATTATGATTCCTTCTTTCCATCGCTTTCATCTATGTTGATAAGAATCCCAACCTGGACATGATAAACTCTACAGGTAATATTGGGTTTGAATGGAATTGATAATGGGGAAAATAATAATAATAATAATAATAATGTACTCTAAAGGTGATATTTTCATGATGTAGACAGTGCCAGGTAATGGCAGATGTGGATATCATCACAGGTGATCCACCAATTTAACGACAAGAGGGAAAAAAAAGGAATGGGGAATAAGTAAACTTATTTTCTACTACATTCTTTTTATTTGGTGGATAGAATTATCTACTAATTTTGTGGTTACTTACTGCAAGTTTCTTCTGCCATACTCATTACCTTTTTCCACAGAATGATCAAATGTTTATATTGGTAATGTACCAAACTTTCAAAGGAAAGGAACAACTTCTTCCCCTTATGCATTGTCTCCCCTTGAAGTTGGTCGTCAATTAAACAAGAAAATAGGTCTATTCAACATGCATGAATGTTATCATATATGCTTAAGCATGTCCATTTGTGTACTTTTTACTCAGTTTGGAAGGAGTACAAATACAAATATGTAGAGTGCAAAACCTTGAATTTTATATTATTTTACACTGTACATATTTGTATTTGTACTCTTTCCAAACTAAGCTTTTGGCACAAACATAAATTTCTTTGCTTAAATAACAGGTGCAAACCAAATCTGTAGTTCACATGACGCCCAATTATAAATTCCTTTGCATAAATAACAGTGCTGCTCATGTTCTTGATTTCTTTTAAGCTCATTGTCTCTTAGTTTAAAATACTGTGTTAAATCATTTTCAACACCACTGAACCGAATGGGCACTGAAAAGTTATAAAAGGTTTTTCAGTTTTTTTTTTTTTTTAACACTAAGGATAAGTGTTGTGGGATAAAATAGAGCTAACCAAATCAACAAACATAAATGAATATGAGGTTGTAATGCAACTGTGCAGAAGGGTGAGATACGCATCGAAGAATTAGCTTTCTGTAGGACCTTCTTGACAAATAACTTCTCTTCTTTATCAAGAATGTCTGCTTGAGAATAATTGGGAAACTTGAGGGCACAAATGGGGTTATCCAAAAGTTAACTTTAAAATTGCTTTCTTACTTACTTTTGACAGAAATTCTTCCTGCAGCATTGATTCTGTTAAGCTCTGCAAGAATCCTCATTCATTGGAAGACGTTATAAACAGTGTCATCTGCTATATCAGCAGCTTTCGTAGCTTGCTCTTCCAAAATCCTATCCAAATAAGCTGAACAGGACATGATTTCCTTGCAGGGAACACACGGAAAGAGAGTAAAGATATTTTTGGATGGATAAATATCAATTAAAGATTTTTTTTTTTAATAATAATGACATGAAGCTTTATTTCACCCAAGTTTCAATGTCCTGTGATACAATCCTGTCATTCTACTTTAGGTCGCAATTTTATATGTCAAAACATGCTCAAATGCCATGATTTTGATACTGTTAGAAATTTAATTCAGATATCTATCCAATGAGACCAAGTTGTAGACAATTTATGAACAGGGTACATGTCTATGATGTGATTTTTTTTGTGGACTTGGGAGCATTTGGTTATTTTTACGATTTCACTTGAGTTATGTTGGATGAATGAATGACATCACTCCTCAGGTCTTAACTTAACTGGTGTTATGGTTTATTAGGTCTTAACTTAACTGGTGTTATGGTTTACTAGGTCTTAACTTAACTGTGACGGCTACAAACAAGCTTTGAGTTGCTCACAATTGGACCTGGGACGGGTCCACTTCTAGAAGAGATAATTTTTAGGATAGGAAATGCCAAGATTTTCTTTTTTTTTTTTTAATTTCTTTTGTTACTTCAATGAGGTCAACCATGGTTTAAGTAATGGTTTCCATCTTAAGCAAACTCCTGCCTCCTCCATAACTGACAATGTAACTTCTCTTTTGTTTTTTTTATTCCCTTGTTTGCCCTACAAGTTCTTTGATCTCAAGGAATGAGACTTCTCTTACAATGGTGAGACTCCCAGTAACATTTCTTTGTGTTGGTGAGGTTCCAATTTAATATCAGTCCAATGTGAGTCCATTATAAATGGACCAGGTCCAATCCAATCTCAATGAATGTTTTGGACCAATTTGAACCAGTCCAATTCACTGTCTGGGCTGTCGAATTCATTTTGATTTAGATTGGTTTCAACCCAAACTCGGTCCATTGACACATATATTCTTATCTTATATCAATGGACCAGATATTGGCTTAATCCAACCCAATCCAATATAAATTTGTTACGGACAGACCAGGTCCAATCCAATCTAATAAATATTTTATCGGATTGATCCAATCCAATATATCTTGTTGGTCCGTCCAATCCATCCAAATTGATTTCGGACCGGACGGGGTCAATCCAAAACCAGTCCATTGACACCCTTACTATCCATGCCCTCTCCTTCGCACTTCCCCTATCATTTCTATCCTCCTTTCTTTTCACAAGGGAAGCCATCATTAAAGTTTATGATCTCTACAAAGCATAACAATTTTCTTTTCTTTTTTTTATTTCTTTTGATTGGTAAGAAATGCATAGTACCTTATTCTTCTTTTGTGTGATTCAATTTTCCCACGAATAATGTGGCTAAATTTTGTATATTTTATGCACTGACACAATGGACCTTGCAAACTCAAGCTAGTACTAGATCATACTTGTATCAGTGTTGACCAAGTTACACATTGAACCGAGTCTTGATTGGCTTACCAGACTCAATAGCATCTTTAAGGAGTTGATAATGGAACCTAGCAATCTAAGGAAGACCCTATAGATACCAGGATGGAAAAACTCCACGAGGAGTTCCTCAGAGTAACAGGAATAGGAGAATATGGCAGGCTGGCAGCAGTCCATAAGAGAATGGTTATGCAAAGGCCAACAACAAGAAAGGATTAATCCTAAAAAATGAAAGTTGAATCAGGTAATTTAACATGTGGATGCGCCAACTACATGGTTTATCAGGATATTTAACATGAAAGGAGATTTGAAGCATATATGATACACTGGATATTTGGCAGAAAAGAAGAAAGAACTCTATTCAAGAGGACCAAAGGAAAACTAGAAAGGTAAAGAAGTTAAATTGGGTTAGAAGTTCATAATTACGGTTTTGAAAATTGGGGTTTAATGGGGCTTAAATTTTCCTCTGGGACTGGCTGTAGGATGTGTAGAATCACTCTGGAAGGTTCTTGGCATCAATACTAGGAGAAAGCATCACACTTTCCTTCAGAGTTGAGATACCACTCATTCATAGTAGTAGCAATCCATAAGTCTGTAGTGCATCCTTTCATTCTTCATCTTAAAGCAAGCACAAATTCATGGTGCCAGGTATCCAGTTAGTACATCAATATCCATTGGTTTTGAATCAAAATGTAGATTTGCTTTTTCAGAATGTTACCATAAATATGATAAATAGGTTCTACCAAAAAAACATTATGTTACCTAGATATCTGTACAAGGGTTCCGTTTCTTGTCAATTAATTTTTAGTGTAAATTTTGTATCAGACACCATGTCCAGCCGTATCTTTGCCATATCTGGGTAACATAGTACCATATTCCAAGAGCCAATAGATGCAAGTGCACAGTGAAAATCAAAGATGAACTTCATTTTAACTATCCATGTTTATCCAACGTTTTTCCTTTTTTTTTGTGTATATATCTGTGACTAGAAAATTACAGAGAATGTGTGGCACTTTCTTCCTGATAAGATTGTGATCATGTTAAGGTATAAAACAAGAACGGGGAAAAGCCACATATTCAGAAGTTACATGGTTTTTTGTCTATGAGGTATTTACAGTGATGTATAGCATGCTAACTATCAAGAGAGACCAAGTGATGCTATGCTGTTTGATGCAAAAGATGATGAAACCTACTTAAATTCTTTCTATATAAAGACAAAAGATTATACATTCAACTTTCCCAATAACTTCAAAATTCAGACAACTCTTGAACCTGCATTCTCATACTTGCCATCCCGATATTTTACCATTACACCAAGTAATGGCGCCTTGCTTCTTGAGAGACTACTGGAGATAACAGGAGAAGAGCAACTATGCAATCCCAAGAAGTATTAGTTCCATATACATCTTCTCATGTATCATCTGAATGAAAGCTACCAAGTGTAATAACTCATCTTATAGAAGAACCCAAGAAAAGTTAGAACTATGAGGGAGAACATACAAGCAATTCCCCTCAAAGAAACTATTTGCAAACCATGGGCCAAAGACCAAATAAAATAAATAACTCCAGTATATAACTCTTAGGCCCTATACTAGATTTGTCTATCATTAAGAAATTGGGAAGGAGAAGACACAGAAGAATGTGGTGGGGGAGAAAAAACTGAGTTAGGGACAATCAACACCATCATTATTAGTCTTATCATTGAAAATTCACAATATTGCCATTAAAATTTTACTATACCTATGCTATAATCCCTAAGCTCCTTTTCAAGCAGAGAATAGTTGTCAATCATGTTCAACTTGCTAAAGATATACTCTAGCTTTGACCAAAGTACTACCTTAGCCAGAATGTTTATTAGATGGTATTTTATCTTTATCAGTGCTAAACAAACTTCTTGGTGGATCAGTAAAATCTTGGGCTGATAAGCATGACCATACAGGTTGACAATAATAACAAAACAGAGAAAATAATATCAGAGTAGCAAACATACAAATCCAAGGATTTAACATGGTTCAGATTGACAAGAATGAGAATGTGGGTTGAGAATGAGAAAAGCTACTTCATGCAAGAAAATATTTGGCATTAGGTAATGACCCTTTACACTTTTTGAGAAATAATACTCTCTTATAAATTGTCCTTCAACTTCAATGTGTTTTGTCCCATCATATTGAACAGGATTCTTTGTTGTGATGGTAAAACATCAGGCTGATAAGTTTGAGCCTGGATAACAGGAACCAGTATTGGCAAATAGTCTTTTTTATGTTTACTAGGATTGCTGGAAATATTATATCAAGAATCCTAGGTGTTTATTAGCTTTGCAATTTTTACAACAACAAGACCCAGCCCAATTAACAAAATTTTCACCTATAGCAGGTCAGAAGTGCATGAGTCATCGTTCTATATTTGGTTTCAATACTAGATGTGCAACAACAGAGTATAGAATACTTCTTACTTCTCCATATGACTAGATTCCCATCAACAGGTGAGCAATACCCAGTAGTCAACTTATAATCATCTAGATCGCCTTCCTAATCTACATTCTATAAGATTAGGTCACTAAATGTCCGTAGGATCCTCTACCTGCAGGAGAAGATATGGAAGTATCTTAGAATCCTTTCAACTAATTCTAGATGAGGAACTTGACATGTATGCATATATACAGAGGCTATATTTGGCCTAAAGTAAAGAGAAGTGACAAAGTTGTCCTAGTTTTTACTTGCATTTATTAAATGGCAGCTCTTCCTCGCATTCGCTTCACTTACAATCTATATGAGTTGATAAAATAGCCAAGAAAGTACCCTTTCTCCAAGAGAAAGAACCTCTTTCTTGATCAAATCACTTAAATTCCAATGAAGTACTTAAGATCAAACCAAGGTTTTTGATTTCAAACTCTGCAGTATGGAGATATCCTTATTATGTTTTTGTAAAGTGCTATTTGGATATAAGAAGATAGATCAAGGAAAAATGAAAGCCCTGCTTAACTAAGGATACTCCATTCTTTTTCTTAAAATTTGGCTGTGCCAGGAATTGCTTTTATTTTGATCCATTATCAAGCATATGAACAACTTTATTTAGAGAAATTTTGATGCAATTCTTGTTTAAACTATTACCTGTATGCCATCGAAATAACTTTTTCATATAGAATGGCTTATGCTAAATAGACTTCTATTATTATTACAGTTATGTGAAAGAAATTGCATAAGAAACCTTATCATTGCATGAAAAGACGATATGGCCTTATCCATGATTCAGGCCTTTCAAAGTCACCAAGTATCAGATATGCATCAGACTCCTTTTCTTTAATCTTCTAATAAGAAAAATGACTTATTAAGAAAAGGGTATAAAAAAGATTCACCTGAGGCTAAAAGTAGAACACAGAACACGTGGAAGAACCTTGCACCAAGAAAGTAACCAGCAGTCCAACTATAACTGATACTCCTAAGAAGGGGTGCAAGTTGGATACCTGAATTAAGAATTTACACAACATCGGGCCCAGGCCCACTCAAATTAAAAAAAATAAAAGAAAAAGAAAAAAGAAAAGCTCATTCTGAGCTCACCCAAGTTGCAGCCCCACTCCTAAGACCTTATATCAAGCAGGAGTATGCTTGATTTACAATGTGCCCTCCTGTGGAAACATGATGCCAAGAAATTCTTTTCTGAATAGAACATTCAGATCGTTAAATCATTAAAATGCACGCACTTTCTTATTTCTCTCCTCTCTGTCTCCACAACCCCAAACCCCTTTCTATATCCTCTCTGCCTCACTATTGCTAACCACAGGATTGTGCATGAAATGAAAAGCCAATCATACCCGCTTACAGTATGCTTGATTTACAACAAGAACAAAATATTAAAGCTACTACCGGGACTTAAAGGAATACACCCTTTTGCGACCCAAAGTTCTATCTTATGCTACGAAAGAGGTATTTCAAAATGCAACTACAGACTTCCTCAAAAAAAAAAAAAAAAAAATGCAACTCCAGATATTCTTTTCCTGGTTCTTTCCTTCTTATATAGTGAACGTCTGATTATTACTTAGTAAAGTAATATATGCTCCTGGGAATATGTCAAAATTGAATGTCATATATTCCTATTTAAATTGTAGCCATGAAACCTTTCTCATCAAGTATGAACTTGGATAATACTGAATTTTCTCAAAGTAAACGAATGTAGGAAGAGAATTTTTGGAACTATATGACTAAAAATCAACATCAAGAAAGTTTAAGCTTTTGCTCTATGGCCATGGCTCAAACCGAGTTTTTTGTATGGTGTCCTCAGTCCTCCCCTCCTACAGGACATTTTTTTTCCTTTCTTTTCCTTTTCTGAATGCTTCTCACAGATCCTATTCTTGGTCTGTGGAGGCATGCCCACTATTTTCCATAAACACTTGAGAATAGAAAAGAATGAGGAAATACAGAAAAACTAAAGCAAATCGGTACCTATCGTGTAGGCTGAACTTCAGATAAAATCCTTTTCTCGTAAAATGAGGATTCAAATTAGAACCAATGATCTCCTAGAGAAGAGGGTAAAAGGCAGCACGACATTAAGATTGATTTGCTAATAGGGCTACAGCATTTTTTGTCCAAGCACAACCAATTCTGATCCAAATCTCCGATTTGCTCCAACCAACTAACACTCTGAAGACATAACATTATTCCGTTATTCTTAATGCCATTAATGCCGGTTTTTAATCAAAATGAAATATGAACAGTAGTGGTCACCAGTAACTATAATTCCTGAGAGGCAACTCGATACATATAATTCAATTGAAGTAGCTTAAGTTTCCACTCAAACCAAAAGCAATCCTCCCTAAACAAACCAAGAAGAAAGATCTGAAAGTATATATTATGAATTAGAATAAGAAATTAAAAAGAAAGTAAGAAAAATACATTAAAAAAATGGTAGCAATTCCTTGAAGCTCAGAAGCATCCTCAGAAATGGCAGCAGTTCCATGACTAGCAGTCTAGCACACCACAAACTACAGCACAGCGTAGCACCGTGAAGCGGTAGAGTCCGGCTTCTGTCCAGGCTCGTTTTGTCCGCGCCCCGTTCGCGCATTCGGAGGACGCGCCGCGTGTTCTCCGAACCGTATGAGATGCTGGAGCGTGCGAATGGGTTTAAACCCGTTGTGGTTTCTGCTGGTAGTGGTGTCGCGCATAAGCTTTAAAGTATTGAAAACGCCAAATATATCGGAAAGATAATTTTAAGATATGTATCGGGATACGTTTTAGATATGTATGTTTATCGGAGAAAAACTAAGATATGTATAGATATGTTTGAAAATACTATAAATACTTTTATATATCATAAAAATACATTAACAACATTAAATATAAGACCTCAATGAGATGTATATATATTAAATTAATATATTTTAATGGTTTTATGAAGAAATATATTATAGCTAATTATAATTTTATTAAAAATCCTATGTTTAACTATAATTTATAAATTATAATTCTTAAGTTTTAATGTTTTATGGGATGAGAAAAATCCAACTCTCCTATCCAACCATAAAACATGCATTGACACAACTTCTATGCGAAAATATAATTAATAATTATTTATTATTTATTATTCATTTCCAAAAATTATAAAAAATAAATAAACATTATATAATATATTAAAAAATAATTATTAAAGAAGAAATTTCAATTATGGATATGATAGATCATCCATAAAATTATATTATATTCAATCATTGTGATCAAATGATAAAATATAATTAATTAATTAATTATTTTTTAATTCTAAAAAAATAAAAAAGTAATTATTAAAAAAGAAATTTCAATTGGTCTATGGACATGATAGATCATCCATAGAATTATAATATATTCAATTGTTATGTTCAAATGATAAAATATAATTTATTATTATTTATTTTTTTATTTCTAAAAATATAAAAAATAAAAAATATATATATTAAAGAAGAAATTTCAATTGCTCTATGGATATGATAGATAAATCCATAGATCTAAAACATATTTAGTCTTTATAGGTAGAGAAAAAACTTACATTTTCAAATTTTTTGTTAATTTATATTTTCCCCAAATATTTTCATGAAATTTCCATAAATCTATTGATAGCACAAAAAAAAATTGTAATTTTGAACATAAGAAATGTAGATCAACATAAATTTAAACATTCAAGAAAAAAAATAAATCACAAGGTATTATAAAAGATTGAAAAAAATACCTATTTTGCCATATTTTTTCAAATTTTGAAAAATCTTTATAAAAAATAACGATTCACACTTGTTTCTTACAAAATTTTGCAAATCTAGCACTCTAGGAATGAAGTTTGGAGTTTTAGAGTCATTTAGGAGTTAAAGAAGGCTTATTTTGGGGAAAAGAAGTTTGTTTTCCTCATTTAATTTTTTTAGTTTTTAGTCGTATCTTTTTCGTCGATACACTACCGATACGCCTTGATGCACCCCTGATACGCCCCCAATACGGGTCCGATATGTATGAAAAAAGACAAAACGTCCGATTTCCATGTGTATCCTGTATCGGTTTTTAAAAGATATGATACGTTGGGTGTATCGTATCAAAATTTTAAACCTTGGTCGCGCATTCGGCTCCTCTCCTCCCTTCTCCTGTCGCAGACTCACGCTCTCCTCTCCGCCCGACGGCGACTGCAAAATCATCACCGGCGACAGATCAACCGTATTATGTTTTTTGCATCTCATCTTTCTTGCATCTCTTCTACTTCCAGGAAAACTAACCCTAATGGTTTTGGATGGCAGCCATCCATCCGACAGTGGCATCTGCACAACCAACACTGGCGACAAAAGAAGAACCTCAGGGAATCTCTTCTTCTTCCATCAAAACTAGGGTTTAATCCTCATTAATTTTTAAAATTATTTGTATGATCTCCTCTCCTGTCGCAGACTCACGCTCTCTGAGCCCGATGATGATCACTCACAAATGTAGAATGAAAGGAAAGAAAAATAGTATTATCAGTCAATATTAACACGACATCTCATCTACCAGGCAGTATCTGATTATGTTCTACCGGATTCTCAAAAATCCGAGAAGTTACTTAGCAAGCTCAAAGAGAAGATTGCTACTTTATACGTCTGCGATGCAACAAGAAATAGTGGTTCTTTAGACGTAATCTCAATTTCTCAAATAAAAGGGCAGCCCATTAAATGCAAGGCACCAAATGCTCAAGGAGTTGAAACCCACTATTCATTTTTCATTTTTCATTTGTCAAGGCACCAAATGCTCAAGGAGTTGAAACCCACTATTCAAGCTGTAGGATGAGTTTTTAATTTGACTCAGGACACAAATTTTGGTTTGTTAAACCGGCCCACTTTATCTAACAACAGAAATGAGATCTACACCTTTTTGGGGTTGCCTCAATCGCAAAATCTAAAACCACCATGCGATCTTGCATGGCAGTAATACATGGTCAAATTTTGTTCATGTGTACAAGGAGGTTGGGGTGTCATTGGACTGGAATTGGTCCAATTTGATCCAGTCGAATGTGAATCCATTATAAATGGATAGGTCCAATCCAATCCAATGAATATTTTAGATCATTTTAGACCGATCTAATTGGTTTCAACTCAAACTTAGTCCATTAACACCTATATTTGTATCTTATATCAAATTATCAATGAACCAGATATTAGCTTAATCCAATCCAATCCAACATAAATTTATTACGGAAGGACCTGGTCCAATCCAATCTAATAAATATTTTAGATCGGATTGGTCCAATCCAATGTCCGTTCAATTCGTACAAATTGATTTTGGACTGAACGAGGTCCAATTCAAAACTGTCCAGAAAACCAGGCAATAGACAAGTTGGCAAATCTTGGGCACAATCTGAAATGCGCCATGGGATGACCAGCAATCCCAAAGTCAAAAATGCGCAATGGGCACAATCTGGTTAGTTTATAAAAGGCCCAAGCTTGGGCCATTAAGGCTTAATTATAGTTCAGTCCCCCTCAAATTTTTTACATTTAACAGAGTTCAAAATACATCGGGCAAATCAATACAGCTTTTGATTTTTTTTTTTTTTTTGCAATCAGTTTAGAACTCCTCTACCCCCTGAACCGGTTAAACCCCTGATACACCCACTATAGGGGTGTATCGAAGGGGTCCCAGAATGATACATATTAGCTGATACGTGTTAATACTTTAAACCTTGCATTAAAGTAAACATTTTAAATGAACACTTATAAATATTTTGACAACCATCAAAAGTGGGCATTAATCTTTTTCAAGGGTAGGGTGAGGGTATTTTAACTTTTTTAAAGGACAGTCAAGTGCTCACGTGCTTACAACTTCGTGCCTAATTCATCCGAACCCTTCCCAAATGGGCAGAAAATTTTCATTTACATCAAAACAAATCAGAATGAGTGAAAAGTGAAAACGATATGCAAGAGGCAGGAATAATAGCTGAAATCTTTCGGTCCAAAAAATCTGATGTCCATTTTATGGGAAAACAGCCTGTAGGAATGAAGGCTAGGCATGAGACGGAAGTTGGACCAGAAAGAAAAAAAGAAACATATCCTTTCTTTCCTGTAAACAAATGGTGCACCATCTTACTTTTCTCCAGGATCAAACCAGGTAAAATTAAGGATTGATCTAGTGTATTATACTAACAGACCAAACTTTGGCTGTTACAACGGGAGCTGCAGTACCACGGCACCACAACTGGACAAGCAATGAATACTGAGGCCTGTCAAAAGGCAGCTTTATGCAACGCAACTGTAGCCGCAGGTGGCAATTCTACGACATTCACATTTTGCCCTCTGCCTTGATTTCACCATTGGAGCACTAGACCATCCATCAAGAAGGAAAACCTTATGACTATCGTATCCCTGGCTTTGAAAGAGAATTTGGACTGTTATGGAGAGGGTGTTGGAGGAAAAATCCTACTATCCTTCTCATTCTCTTTGCTGACGCTTCCTCTTTGATTTCAAGTCCACAACAATGACTGAGATGTTGTCAGAACTGTTTTTCCTGTATGCTACATCAGTAAGATGGTCAGCAACAGCTTGTGCCGGTGAAGATGAACTCCGGTCACCCATTGGGAGCCTGCGTTGCCGCCTCAAAATTTGACGAGCCATCTCCCCAACCTCATCATTGGACATCACATCCCAAAGCCCATCACTTGCCACTATCAAACACTCGTCATCTTCACTTCTTGTTGTAAAAGTAACTTCAGGAACTGGAATAATCCATGGTCGTAAATACCTATCCCCTGAAACATAAAGACACAAGCCCAACAAGTAATTTTTTAAGTACCACAGAAAGTGTAAAGAATAAATCATGTACGAAAAAATAACCAAATTGGTGGATAGCATGTCTTTGGAATCTAATCTTCTATCCTAACTGCAACCAAACTTCTATTCTGTTTCTAAGACCTAAACTAACATTTGTTTCTGTAGAAGGGGGAAGAAAAAGCACAGCCAAATAGGTGGTATTTTTCATTTTTCCAACCAAAGCATTGAGTTCAAAAATGGTCAATCAGATAGGTTACAAAAGAATATTGATCCATAATATGACCTCGAAACATTTAAAGCAGTCTTTCCTACAAAAATCTGAGTATTCAATGATACAAATAGTAGAACATCATCAACAAACCGAACTTTTATTTTTTGACTTTATCATGTGAAGATATGGCACTGCACAATTCAAGGGAAAACATTACACAAATCATGAATATATTTCTTGAAAGTCAACTTCATGTTCCAAGACTTTCGCACACAATGAAACAGAACCACCCAGAATTTCATATGAATTGCACAATATATGTGTGACAACTACCCAATTGCTCCGCCATTTCTTTCTGTATTCTAACTTACAAGCTTCTTTTTATCAACATTTCGCTTGATATTTCAACTACAGATGGTATTAATGTTCTCGTGTCAGAGTGTCAAGTTTCACATGTTATCACCATTCCTTGAATTATATTTCTTATATGATCCTTATTGGCAAATGTAATTCTTGAAATTTGAAAAACTCTTATTTTGATACTTTCTTTCATTTTGATTATTGATCAACAATGGTTATAAATTATCTCTTCTTGAAACCCAAAGGTTCTTTCTGTTTGCAGAATATCTCATTTTCATGTTGGAGATTAGAAGTTATCCATCTCTTTCCCCTTTCTTTGGCTCAATTTAATGCATTTTCCCCTCAGAGATGGGATGCTTTTGATAAATATGCACACAAAAGACCGAAAGAAAATCTGGATCCAATAAACTGCTGCTCATGCCCTTCTCCAACTGGGTCAACCATTTTGAGAGTGAGGCAATTCCTCAAATACTTCTTATTGTCCAGATCATGCATCACCACGTATCAGATATTCATTTGAGGTTAGCAGAAACCTATATTTGACTTTCCTAAATATATATGATCAAGCCAATGACCTCGATATTTTGAAAAGTTACCTACTTGCCTATAATCAAAGAGCTACACCCCTCTAATTATTTCATTGCCAGTGCAGACCCACTTCTCTACTCAGAATAGATCGACTAGAAAGAATAATTGTAAGAACTGAATATGAATCGAAGATAAGATGAATATAATTTCCAATTCCCTATCAATGAATTACTAAAAAAACATTCTTGATAAATTTCCAAGATATAGATGGTTTTCATTCTCTCTCTCTGTAATGAAGACAGCATCATGGTTAAATGCAAAAAAGATTTTTCCACACAATGAGACCCAAATTGATGTTTATTTTTTCCCCTATCCTCTTCTAGGTTGTTTACAGAAGGAAATGGAAAATGAGGGTACAAAGAAATCATTCATTTCATTTACCAACCTGGAAACAGGAGAGACCAAGTTCAACATTCATGCTTAGTTAATTGCCATAATTTCTCGCGTTCAATTAAGACACTATTCTGATATTATTACTAATTACATACTTTATTATCTATATTAGATTAAGCAACTTGTACGTGTCTATGATATGTTTCTTGTATGGTAACATTTGATTAACTTTTCCTATATATATATATAATGAAGTTCAAAGTTCAAATGCAAATAATAACAAAAAAAAAATGACTTATTGGGAAAGTTAAGGGACAATATTGATTTTAAAAACTCCAATTTCTAGGAAGATCTTCAAATCTTCCTACCTTCTTATGTATGGCCAATCCGAATTCCAAACTGTTGATCAGGTAGTGCCCCACCCAATTAGGTACATGTTCAATCCTAAAGTCCATATTAGCCCTTCCTCTGACCTTGTATTGGAGTTTTGACCAATTGATATTTACCATCACATTCTTAATTTAGAAGTGATCCATAAAAGAGGCTCTATTTTGAACGCTAGGCAATATCTTTTGGGCCAAAAATTTTTCGTAAGGGTGGAAAGAGGAATACAGAGACTCCTTTTGAGCCCCAAAATAAGTTGCCAAATGAAAGATTCCTAGGTATTTAAGCCAATCTCAGTAAATGAACCACTACAACCTATTCCCAAGGAAATATCCTAAAAAATGGAAAATAATAAAAAGTTGTGATGGTTCAACCAGATCAAGACCTTTAGATATCATGAATGGTAAGTTGACAATTTCAAACCAAGGATTTGTGTTAACTGATTGGCGCAAGTAATATCAACATCATACAAAATGCAGGAAACACTGTCCAGCTATGTTAAACGTCATACAAAATGCATTAAATCTCATATCCCCATGATTATTGAGCATTTCTTTGCAAAAATATGCAAACAACATAAAACAATATGAAACCCCCTGACTAGATTTAGCATCAACACATGCACAGACAATCCCACCACTAGAAACATATATAAACTTGTAATCCCTATGTGCAAGAAAATGTTTAAAATTGCACAAATGTGGAAATTTTAAACAAGAGAACAAGATTACCTCAGGCTTTCAACAGCATAAGGCCCTCAAAGCCGTGTTTGAGAGAGTGATGATATCTTCCAAAGGCCATATAGTCAATGTAAAAGAAACCACTCAACCAAGACATAGATGGAATATGGTTTCTTGGTATGAACTTAGGCTGTGTTTGGCTTGATAGAAAATGAGAGAAACAGAAAGTTGAGAGAAGGAATAAAATTATAAAAAAAAAATGTGGTTATTTAGATTACAAGGAGGAAATACATAAATGCCTTTTCAGTATTGATTGGGCACTCCTGCCACATTTGTAACTGAAAAACTGATAGTATATAAGAAGAATAAGGAAAATAAAAGGTTAATATATTTATAACATCAGATTTTTCCAATTCCTTGAGATTAAGTGATATACAGCTAAGCATGCATCCAAATTAAATTTATTGAACATAAAATGATTTTCTTATGAGTGATTAAAAGATATTACTAATGGAAACTCATTAATGCACTGTAGATTTATGTAATAAGTAATATCTAAAGAATCACAATTTCCAAAGAACTCATCACCTTTCTTGAATTATCTGTTATGTGCCTTAGGAGAACTCACCCCTAAAAGCTAGCAGTTAGAGGGAGGGAACCCAAACACATATATACCCCACAACAGCATCCCATACTACCGATGTGGGATACCTCACATTAGCATCCCATACTACCAACATGGGACAAATGGATTGTAACATTGTCGTTAGAGACAATAAACCTTTATATTCCATTATTTCCTTCTTCTCTAATCCTACACAAATAAATCATCCTAAACATCAACTCTTTAATTTTATCTCACTATATTTTCAACCTTACTGAAAATAAAAAAATAAAATGGCATACATATTATTTTATTTTAATCAATAAGCATTGACTTATTAAGAAGAAAAAGAAGGATACAAGCACCCACAACTCTAATTCAGGTAAAGTGACTCACCTGTGACTGTTAGCAGAGTTTCTGAAAATAGAGGGGGTATATCTTTCATTTATTAGGTGTATATGGTGATGCAACTCAGAGCAGCTTCAACCAAAACTTAGACCAATCACATCAGATTGATTCCTAAGTTGAGCAGGATATAAAATTACTTGTTCAGTTCTTAGGCTTGGGATCATATGACCCTCAATTTGACCCACCCTACCTGAGTTACACTATATATTTCCCCTTCTCTACTTCTATTTCGAACAAACATATCCAATGGATCAATCAGAAATCCAGTCTAAAAATGAGTTGCACCTTAGAAAATACATAAATTCAATTTTCGCAGAACTGTTTTTTGTAACCAAATGTGTTCAATGATACTTTTGTTGACATAATCAGACATATAGAATTGAAAACTACAATGATTTTTGTCAACAGGCAAAAAGAAGTTGGGAATAAGAGGGAAAAGGAAAACCTATAGCTCGGGACATGGCAAGAACTCCAAATACTCTAGAACCATTCCAGTTTATAACTCTCCCTCCCTCACCTTCAATCCTCACTAGTTCATCATCTCTATCTGGCTGCAAAAGCAACAATAACAAACTATATTTAGATTTGTTGATCAAATAAATTTGATGATATGTTTAAAGATGATGCAGCATACATGAAGGAAACTTGAATAATCAGGATGTATTGTATATAATGAAATAAGAGAAATTATGATGGGTAGATCAATTCAGGTAAGATGGATTTCAAAGGAGTACACCATTTCATCTTTGTACATCCCCTTGTGTATATTCCAGTTTTGCATGGATATGAACATTGGAGTAAGAATCCAATGCATGCCTTGGTGTCTAGCTCAGCAAGACAAAAAACAAAGACTTGCAGATGCAGACATGTCTCTAGAAAAGTACAAACTATTAAAATAGTTTATATTTTTTTAAAACTTTAACATTTTGTACCTTTAAAAAAGGTTTACAAGTTTATCATTTGTTAGAATGCTCGAGTCAGGGGTATTTTGGTCATTCTGGATTATCTGCTTGAGAGTGAAAGGTCTATTGTATYTRAGTTTAAGTTATGTGTCCCATCTTCTATGAGGGACAAAATGGTCTTTCCTGTAACTCTATGTTTTTGAATAAATACAAGTGGGTCAGCTAGGTGGGGGATT